GTACGTGCCCTGCCATGGAGGTCGTGGTGGTGGTGGTGGTGGTGGTGGTGGTGGTGGTGGTGGTGGTGGTGGTGGTGGTGGTGGTGGTGGTGGTGGTGGTGGTGGTGGTGGTGGTGGTGGTGGTGGTGGTGGTGGTGGTGGTGGTGGTGGTGGTGGTGGTGGTGGTGGTGGTGGTGGTGGTGGTGGTGGTGGTGGTGGTGGAAATAGGAATGGTGATGGTAATGAGGGAGGAATGAGGCAGGCGCAAGCAGTGCCATGGCAAGCAGACAAAACGACTTCCAAGCAGGCACCGCGACACAGAACAGCAGGGCATAGCACAGCACATCACAGCACCCTACACCTCCGCACAGCACAGCACCGCACAGCACCCATACCTCGGGCTCAAACACAGTGAAGCCCACGTCAAGCAGCCCCTGCACGAGAACGTCTCGCCGGCTCCTATACTCCTTCTCCAGCTCCTCATAGAACGACTCCGGCGCCTCTAGAGCCGCCACCGCGCCGTGCTGAAGAGGCGTGGCGACAGAGAACGTGAGGAAAGAATGCGCCTGCCGCAGCCCCCATGTGAGATGCGGGGGCGCCACGGCCCACCCCACCTTCCAGCCCGTCAGCGAATAGGTTTTCCCCAGGGAGTTGAGGGTCACGGTGCGGGAATACATTCCTGGGAGACTCGCTATTGAGATGTGGCCCTCGCTAGCAGCAGCAGCACCAGCACCAGCAGTGGAATCGGAACCAGCGGCGGCGGCGGCGGCAGGGGAGGGCGCCTTGTAGACGAGTTTATGGTACACCTCGTCGGATACCGCGACGGTGTCTCGCTGCTGGCACAGCTCCGCGATCAACTGCAGCTCCGCGCGGGAAAATACCTTTCCTGTGGGGTTGTGCGGCGTGTTGATTAGCACTGCTCGCGTGCGCGCGCCTTCCTTCAACGGCTGGAAAGCCGCGCGCAGCGCCTGCTCGTCCAGCTGCCACGTGGGCGGGCGCAGCGTGACGGGGCGCACGACCGCGCCGGCGAGAGAGAGCATGGCGATGTAGGAGTCGTAGAACGGCTCGAATACCACCACCTCGTCGCCCTCGTCTACTAATCCTAACATCGTCGCCGCTATGGCCTCCGTGCATCCGCACGTCACGGTGATCTCCTGCGCGGGGTCGTTAATCTCCACGCCCGTGGATTCCGAGAATCGCGACGCGATGGATGCGGTGAGCGCGGGGACGCCCGCGACCGGCGCGTATTGGTTGAGGTTGCCGGCCTGCAAGGCGGCCTGCGCGGCTTGGATGACGAAGGACGGCCCGTCGAAGTTGGGGAAGCCCTGGCCGAGGTTCACGGCGCCGTGCTTCGCGGCGAGCGCGGAGAACTCGGCGAAGACCGTCGGCCCGAATTTGGCCAGGCGAGACGAGATCTGGGGAGAATGAGGCGACGGAGGAGGATGGGGGAGGGGAAGAGGGGAAGGAGGAAAGGGGAGGAGGTGGATGGGTGGGTGGGGGGGGGGAGGGGGGAAGAGAGGAGAAGGGGAAACGGGGAGTAATTAGGGGCTTCAGTTCTTGCGTGAAACACGATAAGGAAGGAGTAAGGAATGTAGCCAAGGCAATGCAGTGATCGCCGAACTAAAGAGTGGTATGCTGCCATGACGCGGCCTTGCTGCCGTGTACCTGCTTCGTCGGCACTTGCGCCTCGTCGTGGGTCGCGCTGCTGTCCGGCGCGGAGCCTCCCGCCATTTCCGCCAGCACTCGACCCGCAGGCAATGCGCGAGAGGCGAACTGGCGCGGCGCGGCGAGGCGGAATGCAAGTTGGCGCGCAGAGGGGAAAGTATAGGAGTGGAGCATATGTGGTGGTAGTACTAGAGTTGAGGAGAAATACTTGAGTGATTCCTGGTTGGCGCTATGGCGCTGGCTTTGCCTAGGAATTCCACCTTGGGATTGTATTCCCGTGGGATTGAACCCTGACCCTGAGACGAAAATCTAGGGGCTGATCCCAGAGAAACCAATGCTTGATTGATCGGGGTGTGACTGTTTCGAGCGGACTCTAGCACAAGAGCAGCGCAAATGGTTGGGGGTGTTATGCAGCGAACGCAGACACACGGGGATGGTTCGACTCGATAAAAGCGGCCTTGCGAAACAAATTCTCCCTGGATAGTACACAAACCCGAGATTTTATCTATAGTTTGGTTTCCCGTCGAATCCCACTCATTTCCCACCCATAAACAAACCCCTGTCCCCACAGACTATCTGGAGCTGGAATCTCTAGAAATTCACTATTGGGCATTTTCCAGGCACACACAGAATGCCTTCTGGGTGACACGAATAGTCGCTCAAGTCCCTCGAGTCCTTGAGTCTCTGCCATGGCGGAAGATTCCGAAGCTGCCTCCCGGGCGTCAGCGGCGCTTGCTGATGGCGACGACGGAGGCGCAGATTCGGCGGCTCCCGCTGCGCCTGCTCGTCCGCCCGAAACGAGGGAAGAAATGCTGGAGCGGCACAGGTAGGTCCCGACATTCAATAATGCCTTGCCAAAATTCGCGTCGCGCTTTGAGACCGGCGCGCAAGTCGATAAGCATTGCGCTTACTTCTCGTGGTTCCCGTTCCCTCGTTGCTTTCTACTCTTTTTCATCACCCATGCCTGTCTGCCGTCGGATCGGTCAGCGGGTTGCGACAATCGATTCGTCATTATACCATCGAAGCGCCCCTCCAATCTCGAGGTGTGTTTTGAGTCAACTTAAACACGTTTTGAGGCGACTCGAAACACACAGGGCTGCGACAATTGCTCCGTCGTTCTACCATCGCCATCGAATCGCCCGCTCCAATCCCGAAACGCCGCGCACAAAATCGACTCGTCATACCCTTTAGCAACCTACAAGCATCGCTTTTCCTTCCGCCTCTCCCTCTTCATTCTACTTTTTTTCCCCCAAACACGTATTCAACTATTCTGCCCACGCGTCCCGTTGATCTTTTCCGCGCGCAATGCAGGGCGGAGGCTAAAGACCTAGTCAAGAAAGAAATGGCGATGAAGAAAGCGGCGGCGAAGGGCAGCAAGGCGGAGCAAAAAGCCAAGAAGAAAGCCGTAGAGGAAAAGGTTCAAGCATTAGAATCCGAGATGAAAGCCCGTCATAAGCGCGAACTCGACGAGCTCGCTGCCTCCGCGGCCTCCGCGGCCTCCGCCACGTCAGCAGCCGACGCGGCGGCCGCGGGCGTCGCCGGCCTTGCCGTTTCCGGAGAACCCGGTGGAAGAAGTGAGGGAGCAGCAGGAGCAGGAGGAGGAGCAGGAGCAGAGGCGCCGCGAGTCTCCCGCGCGCAGAAGCGGCGGGAGAAGAAGACGCGGCAGGAGGCGGAGCGGGCGGCGCGGATCGAGGAGGAGCAGGAGGGGCTGGTGAGCGAGCGAGTGGTGGAGGAGCAACGGCTAGCGGCGAAGCTATCGCCCCTCGGGCTCACCCTAAGAGAAGTCAAGCCGGACGGCCATTGCCTGTTCCGCGCAGTAGAAGATCAGTTGAGAGGAGTGGGAGTGGGAATGGCTGGTGAGGGGATGGGTATGGGCGCGGCGGGAGCGGTGGGTGGGTCTGGCGGAGATGGGATGGATTTCTGGGGGTTGAGAGCGGTGGCGGCGAAGTACATGCGTGCGCATGCGGAGGATTTCATGCCGTTTGTGGTGGCGGAACTGGCTTCAGGTGAGCTGCACCCGTATGGGGATAACGGAGCAGGAGCAGCAGGGGCAGGAGGAGGAATAGACGGAGTGGGTGGAAGCTTCTCATCTGCAGCAGCAAATGCTGCTGCTGCTGCTGAGTGGGAGTCTGAACCGGAGGAGAGGCGTATGTTCCTTCGTTATTGTCACGAGGTGGAGCACACTGCAGCGTGGGGCGGCCAGCTGGAGCTGCAGGCGCTGGCGCAGTCGCTGCGGCGCCACATCGTCGTCTACTCAGCCGACCTGCCAGATGTCAACCTGGGATTGGAGTACGCTCCTGCAGCCGCAGACGCAGCAGCAGCAGCGGGCGGGGCAGGGGCAACCGCAGCAGCAGGAGCAGCAGCAGCAGACAGCGCAGTGACAGGAGCAGGAGCTAGCAGCGGTGCTGCTGCTGCTTCTTCTGGTCCTGCGCCTATCCGAGTGTCATTCCACCGCCATGCGTATGGTCTGGGAGAGCACTACAATTCCGTGGTGCCGCTGCCAGTACCTGCTGCTGGGGCTGGGCTGCTGGGCGATGTGAGTGAGGAGGAGTGAGTGAGGGGGAGAGGAAGGTAGGTCACAGGTTCGAACAAGCTGTATGCTGGTCCGTTGTGGTGCTGGTCGCAGGTGCGAGCAATTGCAACTGTCATGGCAGGGCTCATTCCATGCTGCGTGGCAGCGTGTTGTGGGTAGAGAAGATAACGGTACCCTATGTGGTGGTTGTGTGCGCATATTTGTGTATTTACGATAAAGATTAGCTGGCTGCTGTGTTGTGCGTAACTTGATGAATGTTGTTTACGGTGTCAGTGGTTTTGCTAGTTGAGCAACTAAGGTTGTGGCCAACAAATGTGGTTACAGCCACTATAAGTGATTACGCCTGCAACGTACAATTGCAGCATTAGGCTAGCATGAACAATTATTTCCTCCCTATTTCCTTTGCATAACTAGGCTAGCTACCTAGCTATCGTAGCAGAACAGACCCACGAATCGCATCGTCAGCACAGTCAGTGCCTGACCCCTACACTGTACCTACCGGTACCTACCTACCCAAGCCCCAGCTGACTTGCAATGCATTGCATTGTGGCTGGTTACTCACCTCCTGCTGAAAGATGGTATGCCACCTGAGATTGAGGTACGGTAGCATCGTGGTCCAGTACCTGAAAGCTAGGCAGCCTGATGCTGCCACAGGACTCGAGCATGTGGCCTGGCCAGCAATACTGGAACTCCCTGTAGGTAGGACACTCGGCTATAGTAGCGAGGAGTGTGTTGAGATTATGCTACCATGGCGAGTAGGTTTCTCGTGGTGAAGGACGGCATTGGAGGAAGGGAGGAGCTGGCAGGTAGATACTGCAGCCGGTTACTGCATGCTCCAACCTTCACCTCCACCGTTACTAGTATCAGTAGCACCAGCACCAGCAGCACCACCAGCACCAGCAGCTGCCACAGGCAGCAACGGCGCTGCCGCCGCCGCTTGAGGCGGTGGGTAGAAGTAGCAGGCGCGCAGCAGGGGGTGGTGCAGTGGCACATAGCGCCACCACAGGTGCGCGTACTCTGGAAACGCCAGGTCCAGCCACGGCTTGGCGTGCCCGTTGTAGTGCAGCACCGCTGCCGACCGCACTCGACTCAGCGGAACCGTGCTGCGGCTGCCGAGGCTGGCTGCGAGGAGAGCGCGCGGGAGCGGGCGCGTGGCGTGGAGGAAGGTGAGCAGGCCTGCTGGGAGCGTCCCCAGCTGCCACAGCGTGCGATTCTCGTTCTGGCAAAAGGGGGAAGGTGGAGGGAAGGGGGAAGAAGGTGAAGTGTCGAAATAGGGGTGGTATGGGGATATTAAAGAAAGGGGGCGGGAGAAGGAGAAGGAGAGGGGGTGGGAGAGGGGGTGGGAGAGGGGGAGGGAGAGGAAATGAGTGGGATGAAGAGGAGGGAGGAGTTACCTGTGCGAGCCAGAAGTGGTACTTGTCGGTGTATCTGCCATCCCTCCACGCCTTGAGGTCAAACAGGTTGAACCCGAACGCCCACGCACACCCGTTCGGATCCACACCTGCACCCCACTGCTCCCCACCTCCGCTGCTGCTGCTGCCACTGCTGTTCCCATCAATCCTCCTCCTGCTGCTGCTGTTGTGTGGTTGCAGCAGCGGGTGTGAGAAGTCGAGGTAGGAGCTGAAGCGGTGGTACGTGCGGCCGACACATGTGGGCACCGCTAGGTTCACTGCCCCGCCACGCGGCACCTGAGGTGTTGTGGGGTAGTGGGGGGGGGAAGGGGGAGGGGGTGGGGTGGGGTGGAGTGGAGTGCGTTGAGTTTGCAACGGCAAGGCCAGCAAGGGTGCTGAAGGGCAGAGTCAGTCACATGAAGGATAGAAAGAACCAATTGACGGGTCAAAAGTCATCTGAAGATTGACGGGTCAAAAGTCATCTGAAGATTGAAGGGTCAAAAGTCATCTGAAGATTGAAGGGTCAAAAGTCATCTGAAGCATGAAGGGTGACAGGTCACCAGAAGCGTACAAGTTCACCTGAAGGTCAAAAAATCACCTGAAGTGCAAAAAAATCACCTAAAGGGTAAAATTTCACCTGAAGGGAGAAAATTCACCTGAATGGGGGAGAAAATCAACTGCAGGGTAGTAAATCTCCTGAAGGGGGCGGAGAATTTCATACCTGCCAGAGGTGCGAGACGTCCTGGTGCTACACGAGCTTTAGTTTGAGGCACCTCATACCTGTTTTAAGCTTGCTTTCACAAAGTCGTACCTGCCAGAGGTGCGAGACGTCCTGTTGCAGCACGACGTCGTCGTCTAGGAAGAGCAGCGTGTGCAGGCGCGGGAAGATGCGCGGCAGGTAGAAGCGCAGATGGTTGAACAGCGACACATACTTGGGGTTGCGGAACCGCAGCGTGCCATAGTCCTCCCTGCTGCCACCGCCGCTGCTGCTGCTATTACTATCACTGACATTGCCAGTGGCAGCGGCACTTGCAGCGGCACTGGCAGCTGCACCGGAAGGCTTACGATCAGCAACACCAGCAGCAGTGGTGGCAGAAGCAGCAGCAGGAGGCGCAAGGGCAGCAGCAGCGGCTGCCACAGGCGAGTGGCGGAAGTAAAAGTCCCTCATGGCAGGGCGCTGCAGGTGGTGCAGCAGCGGGATGGAGGGCAGCCAGGGGAAGTCGTCCAGGCACAGCACCTCCCACGCCATGCGCCCTCGCGCGGGCGGGTTGGCGCTGAACCATGCTGTGAACGCCGGGTGGTTGCTGCGGTCCGTTACCACGTGGAAGACGTGTCGCCATGGCTGGTGGGGGGAGGAGACGGGAGGGATGGGGAGCTGAAACGAGAGCCCCTCACCCTGGCTGTCGCGGTTTCTGCGGTCCGTTACCACATGGATCACGCGGCTCCATAGCTGGTGGTGGGGGATGGGAGGGGATGGGAGGGGAGAGGAGGGAGACGGCTGGTTGACGACCACCATAGCTGCCAGCACAGCATATTGAGTCTCTTGAGACAGCGCAAACAAAACTCTCAAGGGTGTGTGCAGTGCAGTGCAGGCACGCCTGCTGGGCCGGCGGGCGTGTGTTTTGCCATGTGATTGAAGAAGTGTTTTGAGACGTCTCAAAACACTTCTTCAATCACGTGGCTCTTCTGCAGGCACGCCTGCTGGGCGGGCGGGCGTGTGTTTTCAGACAGTCTCCAGTCACAAGGAGCGCACCTGGCGGGCGTGCGAGGCGGTGGAGTTAACAACGACCATGGCTGCCAGCACGTTGTCTGTGATCACCACGTAGTGGTACAACGACGGATCCTCCACCCGCCGCCTCCACTCCCTCTCCCTCTCCCTCTCCCGGTCCTTCTCGCTCTCTCCGTCTTTCTGTTCCTTCTCTCCTCTGTCTCCTACGTCTAATCCTCCTTCCCCTGCTCCTCCGTTCACCGCACCTGCCTTCCTCCTCCCCACGCGCTCGTCCTTGCCCCCGTCCACCCCCTTTCCTTCCTCCCCATCTCCCTCCTCCTTTGCCCCCACCTGCAGTGCTGCAGCAGGCGCAGCAGCAGGAGCGAGCCACGAGCGGCGCAGGGACGCGTTCTGGGCGGCGAGGGTGAGGCGGAGGGAGAGGCAGTGCAGCGGAGCAGGGACGGCGGTGGAGGCCACGTGGCTGAACAGCATGCTCTGCCGCACCACTGCATCCGCCTGCCTTCCAGCCTCGCCCAGCCGCTCCTCCAGCCGCACTAGCGCACTGCTTCTCTCCGCAGATGCTGCTGCTGCGCTGCTCTCCTTGCCATGGCTGCCGCCCGCATGACTGCCCTGTCCGCCGCTGCTGCTCCTCGTGCCCCCGCTCCTGCTGCCGCTGCCACCACTATCACGGCTGGGGCTGCTGCTGCTGCTGCTGCCGCCATCAAGCGCCAATAGAGCGTCATCATGCACCGCAGCTGCATGCGCAGAGGCGGAGGCGTTGAGGAGGGGAAGGGAAAGGGGCAGGGGAAGCGGCAGGGGAAGCGGGGAGGAGGAGGAGGAGGAGAGCAGAAGCAGGCAGCGGTTCATCTCCCGCCTGCTCTGCTCCGCCATCGCGTTGTCCCTGAACTCCACAGCCGCCCCCAAATACGCCTGCACCGCCAGCAGACACTGCCTCAACCGCCGCACCTTTTCCCTCCTCGCCCCTTTGCCTGCTCCGCGCACCGCACCTCCCACACCTACCGCACCTCTCGCACCTCCCGCACCCGCAGCACCTGCAGCACCTGCTTTTGCTGATGCTCCTGAATCTCCTGACGTGCTTCTTGCAGCCGATACTCTCAACTGGTGTGAATCCAGCGATAATCTCTCGGCCGCTGCAGGTGCCGACCCCTCTGCGCCTTCCACACCACCTCCTCTCCCTCCATCTCCATCTCCATCTCCATCTCCTTCTCCTTCTCCTCCTTCTTCCTCTCCTGGCCCCGCTCGCGTATCATCCCCTCTCGTGTTATCCCTTCCCTGTTCTCTCGCGCCCCTCTTTTGACCTCCGTTCGCACCTTCACTGCCGCTCTCTTTCCCGGCGTCCCACCCGCGTCTATCCGGAAAGAGGACTCGGTCGTTCGTTTCTCCGTTGGCTTCTCTCCCGTCGCCGTGCAGCAGTGATCGTCCAACGGCGGATCGCGCCAGCGCAATCGCGGCGGGCAAGGTGTCTAGATCGGACGGTTGCGAACCTACGAGGGTGGAGTGGGTGGGTGGGGCCGATGGAACAGAGGAGTTAATACGAAGAGGACGGAAGAGAAGAGAGGGAAGGCAAGGAGGAGAAGCTAGGGATTGGGGGTGCACGGGAAAGACAAGGAACCTTCGTTAGAAATGCCGACTCGTGTGAGAGAACTAGTCTCTGTCAGACTCGTTACTATTTTGGGGGGACTTTCTAGTAGTAATGCTTGTGGAGGTGTTTTGATAGGGGATCAAAGAACACGGAATAGTTCTCATCGCCGCGACCATCGGCACCGTGAGCAACAAAGCCCCTGTGAGTCGGCGCAAAAGAGCACCGTGAACAGCGATCCCCTTCATGATGCCTGTTTATGGAATCAGAGTGCTTTCTCGCAGAATAACGCGCGGGAGCAGCCGCTACCCACCCACCTCGCGAAAGCAGCATCATGTGCGCCCGTCGCTCGGACACGCTGCCGCCGCCGCCGTCGCGTAACCCGGCCGGCGTCGCAACCGTCGCAGGGACGTCGAGCGAAGCGTCCTGCGTTCGCATGAACATGAGCTGCTGCGTCGCCATCAGCAGCAGCACGACCATCAGCGTCGCACGCGCTACTGCGACGACGCCGTGCCGCCTCGCTGCTCGTAGCAGTATCCAGTGTTTCCAACGCGACAGCCACATCGACCCGCTTCCGCTCCCGCTCCCGCTCCCGCTGCCGCTTCCGCTGCCGCTGCCACTCCCTCTGGCACTGAAACTACTACGAGAAATGGACCAGTGAGAGGGTACCGACAGCAACAGCTTCGACTGTTTCCCGCCATTTGCCACAGTCCCTGCCGCCATCAGAATTTGCGCGAGCCACGCGCGCGAGCGCCGCCGCTGATCGAGCGTTTCACGCGTGAATCCCGCTAAGCAGCACTAGTCCTGGCGCTAGTATAGTAGTACTAGCTGACGTGGCAGGCTACGACCGCACGAAGGTGAATTTTGGTGAATGAATGTGTCAGCAACGCGCCGACTCTAGGAGGTCACTTAAGTATCGACGACGAAATTCACTCGGCGGAGAGAAGGCGGAGAGAAGGAGCTCTCCATCATGGATGGCGTGTCTATCGACGAATGGCGGTAACCGCGGCCGCGGCTGGACTGGCACACTGGCAGCGCCAGGCCACAGAGTGATAGGTGCTGGCTTCGCACGACCTCTTAACTGTGTCGCGGCTTCTCACAGCTTCTCACAGCTTCTCACGGCTTCTCACAACTCACGCTCGACTATTGGCCTATTACTAAGTGTTTGCGTGGCCCCTGTTGGCAATGACTAACTCCCGTGGCGGGAGCTGCCTTATCACCTCGACGTCGCTAATTCCCAGATTGCCGCCCGTTACGGGAGCTCACATGGAAAGATGTCGAATTTGCTTCGTTCGAGTTTCGACTGATCTCTAATGGCACCGCTAGAAACTCGCGAGCTCTCCGAGCTGCTCATTCTGACTCGAGTTGTCACGGTGGAGCTTGCAAGAGGAGAGGGAGGGGAGAACGAGAGAGACGAGTTGGTTTGGTTCGGTTGGGTGATTCGAGGAGAGAGCTGTGCGGCAGGTGTGAAGTTGGATCAGCAGGAGGTCTGGCTCTAGAAGCGGCGCTAAGGAGCGCGCATGCGGTATGCTGACAGGAGGACAGGCGGACAGGCGGACGGAGAAACGGAGGCAGGTCGCGACTTTTTTTTAGGTGCCTCCGAAAGAGGCCGTACGGACAGACGGGATTGGCGGGACCGCCTGGCCGGGCCCATCGACGGCCTGTCAATGAGACTTGCTACCGCGAGGCGCGATATGAGAACTCGGGTCGGGTCGGGACGGGACTCAGACTTGGGAGCCGGGACTTAAGACTTGGGAGGGACGGCATGTACCGAGGGAGGAAAATACGACTCCGTCAGCAAAGTACGCACAGGTCAACTCATAGCACGAAGCGCTGCGCGGCTTGCGGAGACTCGCTAGAATTGATAGATGGTGGTGATGGACGGCCGGACGGCATGCTGGAAGACATAAGTTATCATCTATGAAGCGAAGCGACGCTTGCATTGCATACTCTTAGGAAACGTGGAATCTATTGGGTGCCGGATGTGCGAATGGACCTCGACGTTTTGAATTGAAGGTGGATAGACGTCCAGGCAGGGGTGGATGGATGTGCTGTATCCTGTTGTCAGCCAAGTGGTGCTGGTGATGATGATGAGAAAGCCAGGGTAACGGGAAAAGGGTCAGAACCAAGGGGAGAGTTGACACCACACAGCAGTGCAGATCATTGGCTCAGAGAGCAGACGAGGAGGCAGAGGTCACAGAAACGAACACAGCGAATCCAGTCTGGTTGTGGACATCGCCTGGTCTCGCCTCGCCTCTGCCAAAAATTGGTGGGGTGGTGGTCAGCGGACCCGCGCCGCGGATGCGGGGTGTGTGGATGTGAAGTGAATGTCCGCCTGGTTGGATGGAATCACTTCGCGAGATGTTTCGAGCTGTGCGAGCAAGCGAGCGACTAAATGGTTGTGTGCTGATTGGTTGCTTCGGGGGTTTGGACTTGTGGTGGTGTGGTGACACCACGGTGCGCCGGCGGTTTTGTTCAAGTGGGACGAGGCGCGACGAAGGGCTAAGCGCGGCTTCTTCGTGGTATGCGGTAACAGGGATGTCCACCTGAGCGAAAGGCTGACGACGCCAGCGAAACGGAGTGGACGTTCGAGAATCGAACACTGACGATGAATGTATGTGGACGGACCTGAGCGACTAAGCAATCAGAGACTTTCCGATAAATGTGGCTCCCCCAAGACAAGGGACAGGATCGCGGTCTGTGCTGTCTAAGTGGGCCGCTGCGCGTGCTGCGCAAAGGCCGAGTCGCAGCATCGAAACAAGAACCAAGCTCCTTACAGGAACATCGCTTTGCTGTCACCATGAGGTCGAAACGAGATAACCCTCGAATACGTGCTCCTTACATATTCATCGCTTTGCTTTATGAATATGAGCTTTGCCCAGCCGCGAACCCTAGAAAATGACTCCAAGTCTTCCGTGGATCGTCGAAGTACCCCGAATTAGCAGCAACAGCTGAAGAGAAATGCCAGAAGCTAAAAAATACAATGTCAATGGACGTCATATCAACCTTACTCTAAGGACGCGGTGCAAGTGCAAATATCGCAGGATCGTCTGCAAATATCGAGCCCCACAATCGAGTGGGCAGATCGATTGGCAGAACGTGGCGACCGCGACGTTGTAACGATCGCCCCTTTAGAATTGACAGATCTCTCACAATCAGTGATCAATCGCATTCGCACACTGTACATAAATTTTGGCAAAAAATAGTACTGTATATGGTTACATTGTAGTAAATAGGGTAACTGATCCCCACATCGATCGCCAATAACGATCAATCGTCTACTTTTACCGCGTCCTAAGGGCGTGTTCCTACGGCCCCGTATCAGCCGACCTCTTGTCATACTTGTGCGCTTCCATGCATTTCAGTGTGATCGAATGTTATTACATGTGTTCCAGTACGTTGCGACGCGAATCTGTCAAGAGGTTCGCCTGATAAGGGGCCGTAGGAACACGCCCTAAACACAAGTCGATCACCCAATTCCTACACAAGTAGCCCGAAGAACCTAGTAGCACTGAAATCTCAAACAAAATATTCCTGGCATTCTTGATTTTTCAAAGTTGGCTGCCTTTCAAAAAAGAGTGCTTCAGACTTATGTTTTTTTTTTTTTAATACTGGAGAAATCCGAGCACCTGCTTACCGGGTAATGCGCTTTCATAGTATGAGATTCTTGACCTTCTACAAAGTTTTCCGCACTTCACATGACTACCGCACTCCCCCCTGCTGCCAAATCTGGAGTTGGCAGCTGGGCCACCCATTTTCACTGCTTTGTCAGCAGCAATCTGTTGGAATCTAGTAGTAGGAATGAATGCACTATGGAAGAGTTGGGTACAAGTATGAAACCCCAAACGGAGCTGTACCCCATATTGGCTACCCTACTACAACCTACACACATATAACAAATATATTATTTGACACACCCCCATAGGCAAAGTGGGGGAGAACAAGGGGTCACAAGACCAGCCAAGAGAAGCAAAGCAAGCTAAGGGTGGATCACAACGTCACCACACACACTGAGCACAAACAAAGGGCCACAAGGCCAGTTCACATGCAGAGATATATATGCAACAACGGCAGCACAGTAATCTCTACCTAGCAGAGCAAGCATGCAGGTAGATATATAGATCACAGTACAGGCAAAGACTACAGCAAGTGAGAAAACGTGGGCACAAGGCCTAACAAAGTACAAGAACGCTGATGATCACCAGACGGAAGTGCCTTGGTGAATATATCAGCAGTGTTGGCCTGAGTGGCTACGTGAGCAAGACGAAGCTGACCACACTGCTGCAACTCTCGAGCAAGGAAGTAATGTAGAGCGATGTGCTTCATTCTGTGCTCCAGTCCGTGCTCCTGACACAAGGCAATGGCGGCCTTGTTGTCGATGTACAGCACTGGAGGAGAACGAGGCCGCTCTCCCAAGTCGGTCAGCAGGTAGGTGAGCCAGCGTAGCTCCTATGCAGCCATGGGTGTGGCGTAGATCTCAGCCTCACAACTGGAGCCGAGAACTGAAAACGAGTGTGTAGACCGCCAGGAAACTGAACCAGAGCCAAGGCTAAAGGTGTAACCCTGTGACGACCGCTGTGTAGCTAGGTCGTCAACCCAAAAAGCGTCCGAGTGCCCAGTGAGGACAAATGGGCTCCGCCCTCCAAGCACGAGCCCCATGCCCGATGTACTGTACAAGTAGCGCAGTACCCTCTTAGCAGCATCCATGTGCACCTTTCGGTGCCTACCAGGAGCCACGTAGCGAGCCAGAAGGCCGAGAGGGTACGCAAGGTCAGGTTGAGTGCAGGTCATCAGGTACATAAGGCAGCCCACTGGCTCTGGGTACGGGCCACTCGGCTCTACGGACTCGTCCGAAGGTGGAGCTGAGAGCGAGTGGCCTGTAGCCAGAGGTGTGTGCTGTGGCGAGAACCAGGTGAAGCCGAAGCGTTGAAGGACCTGCTGCACCATGCGTGACAGAGTTAGTGTGATGGTGCGGCGTGCTCTGTCCCGGGTGATCTGCAAGCCAAGGTAGCTGCGCAGCTCACCCAGGTCTGTGCACGTGTGTCTCTTCTGCAGCTTCGACTTCACCAGGGCGAGAGCCTCAGTGATAGCAGTGGCAAAGACCAAGTCGTCGACGTACACGAGGATGTAGAACGGCGGCAGCGAAGTGTCGGTGCGCAGAAACAGCGACGGGTCAGCAGTAGAAGGCGCAAACCCAAGAGCCGCAAGTGTAGTCCTCAGTGTGTCGTGCCACTCACGTGGCGCCTGGCGGAGACCGTAGACCGGCCGCCGGAGGCTCCACTAGGTACCAGGAGGGAACGACCCAGTGAAGCCAGGAGGGCGGCGCAACCAGA